ATGACTACTAGTGCACCACAAATGAATGGCATATAAAATGGGTTGCGATGTGAGAGACACATTATAAGTAGCCAGCACCAAGCCATATACAGTAGCAAAATTACATGTACAATATTGAAACTTTATCCAACATAGGATAACATTCTGCTTTATCCAACATAACACAAATATAAAAAAATTCTAGCGCAGCACCTTAAAACAATATTTGATTATCTAGATATTTCCTAATACAATTAAATACACATCTCAAGGTTTAACTCAATGCATGCTTCTTCCTAGGCATATGAATATGAGTATTTAATTTCTAACAAGCCTGTTATAACACACTAGCCTTGCACATGGATGATAAACTCCAAATATATATTCAATTAAAAGATATAAAGAGGGGGCCAAATTTTAAGGAAAGGATGAGATGAACTAGGACATGAATGATCAGGATGAGATGAAGGGCAATTCAAATTGTCTTTCTTGTTATAGATAGATCCAAATTATGAGAGGAAAGAAGAAAAAAAAAATCCAGAATTTCTATTGAGTATTTTATTATCTTCGATAGTATGTCTACTTACACACGAATGAAAACATTCTGAGGATTTACATTACAATTTGTAATGCAATACCTGAAAAATAAGATCATAGATTGACTAGGGTGCTAATTGATCCCATATTCACTGTTCTGCCGTGTGAAAATACTCCATTGTGTCTACCTATGTTAGATCTCGTAAGCAAGAGATATTGAGAGAGAGGGAGAGGTCTTGATCTATATTTCTGTCGACTTTTATTAATCACTTTATTTTATCCCTTCATTAAGTAGAATGTAAGCTTTTGTTGTATCCACTAGTGTATATACTTTAAATTGATGATCTGGTTTGTTTATCGTATTCTTCTAGGCTGAAAAGTGCATTTGTAGAAAATCAACAAAATCAGAGTGACCGTTAAATTGTGATTTTTCGTTTCTAACCGTCAAATGATTTTGTCCCATTACCTAATCTCGGAGCGTTCTTTTGGGTGATTTTTGGCATAAGAGATCTTGAAGTATATGCAAACATGATTGACGGTTGGATCATGGAAACTAGTTTCGTAGAATGTGTGTCCCATCAAACGAATGGATTCCAAAACACTTAGAGTTTATTATTCTATACTTCCATTAAGTAGAATGTAAGTTTTTGTTGTATCCACTAGTATAAATATTTTAAATTGACCATCAGGTTCGTTAATTGTATTATTCTAGGTTTGAGGATTTTATCTGTAAAAAATCAACAAAATTGGAGTTATAAAACGACTGTTAAATCATGATTTTTCATTTATAACCGTCAAATGATTTTTTTCCATTTACCAGACATTTTGTTTAGGTGATTTTTGGCCTAGGAGATCTTGAAGTATATGCAAATATGTTTGACGGTTGAATTGAGCTACAAAATGGAGTAAGAAGGGGTGTTTATATCCTTTCCAACTACTAGTTCTAATGTTACCGTTACAAATCTTATAGATGCGCATCGGAAACCCCCACAATTGGCTACCACGCTCCTTCATCTTATCACACTTACTTCTTTGATTTTTACCACCAACACTACTCCCAAGACCTCCATAATTGAAGCAAATAGCAGGGGTAGTTTGATAGAAGTTTTGTAGAATTTTGTAGAGCAAGCCATATTTTCTGGTAGTGTGTTTCTTCTTGTGCTGCATCATTGCCAGGCCTAAAAATATTAAGAAAATTTGTGAAAAATGCTTCAAAACTTTGCATTTTAACAAAAAATCATCTAATAACTTTATTTAATGATAAGAACAAAAAAAATATAAAATAAGAAAAAGTACATGCGTGCCCAGCGTTTAATAACTTTATTTAATATAAAACATGCGTGCCCAGCGTTTACCCCAACCCCCACCCCTTCCCCCCCCCCCCCCCCCCCAATATATAATTAAATAAGAAAAAGTACATGAAAACACACACACACACACACACACACATACATATATATATATATATATATATATATTATATTATGTGTGAATTAGCTAACTGTAACAATGATGATACCCATTTAGGCATTTGACAAAGTAAGATAACACAAACACACGTCTGGTATTATAATCTCGTAAGGTATATTTTCATGTATATAATAAATAATATATATAAAAGTGATAATGTAGATTTCACTTGTACCTACCTACTTAAGGCAAAAGAAATAATATACATATATACACAGTATAGTACCATTAAATTTCATAAATAGTGTAGTACCGTTAAGTTTCATAAACAGTGTAGCACAGTTAAGCTTCATAAACAGTGTAATACCGTTAAGTTTCATAAACAATGTAGTACCATTAAGTTTTATAAACATTGTAGTATCATTAAGTTTCATAAACAGTATAGTACCGTTAAGTTTCATAAACAGTGTAGGTACCATTAATTTTCATAAACGGTGTAGTAAGTTTCATAAACAGTGTAGTAAGTTAAGTTTCATAAACAGTATGTGTGAGGACATGCGGTTCCCGTGCATCAGTTTTTTTTTAATATTAAAATTATGTCTTTTTCATTAAAATTTAAGTTCTTTTGTCATTTTTATTAAAATTTAATTTTTTTTTTTCATTAAATAAAGTTATAGCATGATTTTTTATTAAAATAAACTATGCTCAAAACTTTTTCATGAAAGTTCCCAAAAATATTTGATTAGCCATTGCTCTTTTGTATACAATTATAGACGAATAAACAACAAACTCCCAAACAAGAAAGACACACACACACACACACACATATGTATAAACAATTCATCATGATCCACAATTCTCAAGTTTTTAACTTTCACAATGTTGATTCAAAACTTTCCTTGTGATGAACCATTTGAATCTGTCATTTGTTAAATGCCGATTTTGTCTCAATACTAAGTACTTAGATGCCCAACAAAAATATTGATGCGATTTTTTTTTATTTTTTTTTAAATACATGAAGCTATTTAGACAAATATTTGATTAAATAAAAACATTCATTCAAAGAAACTTGTTAGAAAGGTTTGGCCAATTTTTTTTTTTTCTTTTTCAGAAAGGTAGTACTTAATTGAATTGTATAATCTCAAGTAAATATTGAGTAATGTTTAAAAGAAAGCGACATAAGTCGATCCAACATCATTTTGTGACATATTTTATGAACAAAATTATGTAACAGTTTTCTTTTTCCTGCTAATCAATGGGGAGTACAGAATTGGAACTGAAACTTACTTTTAATATTGGAAAAAAAAAATGTCACTAGGCTTTTTTTAAATTTAACAATTCATTACAACATGATAAAAAAACGGCTACAATTATTTTATTTCTGTTTTATTTTTTATTTTTTTATCAATTAAACAAAAGAAATTAATTTTTTGACCAAAAAAAAAAAATTTAATTTCATTAAGAAAATATCAAAGTTACACCAACCATGTCAACAATACTACACAACTCACCAAATTAAGCCAAACCCAGAAGCCTAAACAATACAACTCAACTCATGGAAATCATTGTGGAATAATGGGTGGATCAACATTTGAGGAAAACATGGTCTCTAGCGTATATTTTACGCATAGCGAATAAAGGTGAAGATGGCAAAAAATACCTAAAGTAGATAGCAACTCCTCCAAAACTAGTTATAATGTAGAGAAAACAATAATTTGAGAGTGTTATATAAATGTATGGAATGTGGATGACCACCATAATGTCCACAACCTCTCCTATCTTAATGTTTAGTAGAGCATGCTCTAATTAGAGTGTATTAGTAATTTATAACTTATGGGTTAACCTCATCATTATAAGCTTATAAATAGGTGCTTAATTTATCAAAGATGAAATATACACAAGTTTGGAAAACACTTTACATTTCCTTTATCTACTCTCTCTCCTCATTTCCCTCTACAATTTTCTCTTTATAAGTTTTTGAGAGAGTGATTGGATTGATCATTGAATAAGGAGCACATTCGAAATTATGATAGAGTACATTCTAAAACCTGAGTATAACTCAGACGGAATCATCACGAAAGACTAACTTATAGGAGGTGAAGAAAGTATGGAATGGGGAGGAGGATTCTTTTTGCTCCTCCTCCTCCCCTTGGTGGCTAAGGTGTCTTTTTGGCTCTAAAGAATACTTTGAAGAAATGGAGAAGTTTTTTGAACTATTTGCTTTCGTTAAAATTTATCATCATAATTGATGCAAAATAATACGCATCAAATTTACATATTGTTGCCATGATCACACTGAACGTGAATTTTTAAGCACATTAATTTAAATATATATATATATATATATATATATATATAGATATGTAGACGTGGGTATGGTTACATGGGCTAATTGATCCCATTTGAGTAGAGTGATATCATTAGTCGGTTAGGTAATTAGTTGTGGGGGAGGGAAATCGGTGGGAAATCGAATCCACACAAGAGTGTATAAACATGATTGCTTTCCTTCATTATAATAAGGTGTCATTTGCTAATTGATCTCATTTGAGTTTGAATTCTCTCTCATCAATGTATTTAAGATTAGTTTAAATAGAATATTGCTGATAACACAATTCTTACATGTATGATAATTGATTATGGAGAGATGCGCTAAGGAGACTCTCTCAAAAGTGAGACTCTTCATATATACTATCTGTTACCTTATGTTTTTGGCACAATGTTTTATAATGTTGACATGAGAATTAACCTTAAATTATGAGGTAGAAGAAAATTCATGAAAGATTCAACTTTGAGAGAGTCTCCTTAACATTTCTCTTAATCATGTAATAACTGATCAACTAATATATACAGTAATAAAATATTGTTCCTCTTTACATTATCTTTGATCGAGTATTCAGTTTCAAGCACACTAAGTGTTAACATAGAAAATTCAATTCCCACATTCAAAAAAGTAAAAGTTACTAAAGAAGCGAATTGTTTTATCTCCGCTATTTTATAAGCATATACGTTTTATATTTATAATTTAGATGTTGAGAATGGCTGCGTTTGCCACTTTATGATATCTCGATCTCTCCTCCTCCTTGCACCTCTCTCCTCAACTCGTACCCTTCCCTTTCTCTGCACTTGATCCCCTTTGTTTTCTATTCGTTCTAGGGTTTGAAATTATGGGGCTCTCCTTTCTCCAAAACCCATAAAATATTGAACCTTGCTATATTAAAATTTATACATATATTTTACTATATTTTTCTTGTTTTCTGTTCTCTTTAGCTCTCTGTGTATGGCTGGCTTAGACTTGGGTTCAGCATCTCGGTTTGTTCATCAGCAGCTCCAACTCCCTGATCTCCACCTCCAAAGACCGCCGGACTCCGAAGATGACCACACCACCCCCAACCGCAACAATCTTTTCTCCTCTGACCACCACCAAAATGATGTTGATAATGACAATCATCATCATCAAGGGTTTGACCTGGTGACCCCAAATCCTGGTTCGGGTGATTCCGGGAGCCGACGCTCCAGAGGTCGGCCCCCAGGGTCTAGAAACAAGCCCAAACCCCCAGTGATCATAACTCGTGAGAGCGCAAACACCCTAAGAGCACATATTTTGGAGGTCAGCAGTGGCTGTGATGTGTTTGATTCCGTCGGCACTTATGCGAGGAAAAGGCAGCGAGGGATTTGTGTTTTGAGTGGGAGTGGTATGGTGACCAACGTGAGCTTGCGTCAACCGTCAGCGGCTGGCGCAGTTCTCACACTGCACGGCAGATTTGAGATTCTGTCATTAACAGGTTCATTTCTGCCGCCGCCTGCACCTCCTGGGGCCACCAGCCTCACAATATTTTTAGCTGGTGGTCAAGGCCAGGTTGTGGGTGGAAATGTTGTGGGAGCACTAATAGCATCTGGACCTGTTATTGTCATAGCCTCATCGTTTACCAACGTGGCTTATGAAAGATTGCCCTTGGAGGAAGAGGAGCAGCTGCAGATGCAGCAGCCTGTGCCACAGTCCTCAGGTGGCGGAGGTGGTGGTGATGGCAGCGGTGGCGTAGGAGTAAGCAACCCCTTTCCAGATCCGTCTTCGGGGCTTCCCTTCTTTAACCTGCCGCTCAATAACATGCCTCATCAGCTGCAGGTTGATAGTTGGGGAGGAAACTCTGCTGGGCGGCCGCCTTATTGATAGTTTTTGCTAGCTATAGGTCAGGTCAACCAAGGTCAGAGAATCGATCTTTATATTAATATCATCACCCCCATTCCCTAGCCTTGTACAATTATTTTTCTTGCTTAATTTCTTTCGTCTATCTTCTCGTAACTTCATTTTGGTTCCTAATTTGTATTGCTTTTTAATGTGTCCATGGAATGTTGATGGAAATTGGATTTTGGAACTCCCTTTTCTTAATTAGAAATGGTTTCAGAGTATATTTTAGCTTTGGATTGGATATAATAATTGTCAGAACTGATATTACTGACAAATAATTTTGTGATAAGTATCACAACCTCTTAACATAAGCTTCAATAATTATATATTGTTTAATCCGTAGGATGAATAAAGATCGTGCTATCAACTATATTGATGAATCAGGTAAAATATTTTCTACTAATTAATCCTTGGTGATTTTTCATGAAAACGATGATTAATTTTTGCCTTTTCCATGTGTGGGATGCTTGTATATACCTATAAAAATCATGCTTTCCACTCGTAGCGTCTACAATTATATGATATTAATTTGGTCATGTGAAACTAATATCATAAACATGAATTTATATAATTAGATCTCTCTCTCTCTCTCTCTCTCCCTCTCTCACACCCCCCCCCCCCCCCCCCCAATATATCTGTCCGATCTTCCACCAAAACAAAGAAAGATAAGAAACAACCAAAACCTACTAAAAGAAAGCTCTCACATGATCTGACCACTTCACCCACATAACCAGATAATCAATTTTCTAACCAACTCGTCCTAGCTAGTCTCTTGCACTGAATATATTTTAGTTGTTCTCAGTTTTTCTCTCATTTCTTAAAATATATTACTTAGTTGTACTGATGATTATCTCAAAGGTTCTTTCATTCATGGATTATTCCTCAGTTTTATATCGTTCCTACATATTCTAGGAGTACTTTTCTTTTAGAAATTAATATTTCAGAAACTTAGACATGAAGGACTAGGAAATGCTTGTTATGATAATATTCTTGAACAAGAAGAAAAAGGAAAGATACCTGAATTCCTTTTTCTTATTGCGAGATTAAATTTGAGTCATTCATAATAACGAATACATAGGGAAGGGTTGTAAACAAGTGTGACCTTGTTAAAGAGAACGCACTTTACTAGTCAAACAACAGCGAAGGGAAATCAAACCAATGAATTTCAGAATAAACCCTAATGTTAAGAATTGGCCTATTAGCCTCCTCTTCAACCCAAAGCACAAAGTCAGCTGTACCAAGCGTGAACCTCGCAGTAGCATGAACTTCCAAGGAGGGTAAGGCTGCGATAAACTAACCAAAACTACCTATTAATTCCTGAGGCTTAATAGATAAGACTAGTTTATAATTCAGGTTTATTTTATGTTATGATTTAGGGCACTTGATTTCATATCATGTTTTCACCCCTAAAAAAAATTCCGTCAGGGCATTTTGTATCTCATTACCAGAAATTAATGTGGATATTATGAACAGTTATTTCTCTGCGGTAGTTTTGTGGTATGCAGTTTATAGTCTTTTAACTAAGAGGTGATGATAAATAGGTGTTTGGAAAAGAAGGCAAGCAATTTATGTATAAAGTATAGTCAGTAGTGTATATACCCTTCAGATTTAGATGTGCAAGACGTGGCTGGAATGCATGCAGATACATATGAATTATTTGCATTTTATGTTGTGTTGCTTATTGTTTAGAGTTTCAGAGATGCCACGGCTCACTACTAGTCAATATTGATATTGTTCTTGACTTAATCAAATGACCTATATATCGAGTCCAACAAAATTGGGCTTTCATATATATAGAAGACTTGCCATGCAATTAAAAGTGAAACCACTTAAGTTGAAATCTTTTGCAAAGATTTCCAGCGTGAGACTTAGGGTTTAGGACTTAAGGGAACTTTTGCTCGTCATCCACCGATCATTCCTACAATAATGATTAAATTTGAAACTGAAACTTCAGCCTCATCTTTGTGATGGTAAAGAGTTTAAGTAACTTGAGAACTAACAAATGCAATTTTGAAACAGGACCACAACCGAAATTACATGCATCAGGGGGATAATGTTTGCTTACTAGAATTATACTGTAAAAGAAAAAAGTTATATTTTCAGATTGAGAAATTGAGCCATATAATCAAGGAATTAAGAATATACCTAATATCCATGGTCTATATTGAGTCTATATTATAAGCATCATATATCTTCATACAAGCAGACAAATAGAAAGAAATTAGTCCAAATAAATACGGAGTGAGGTATATATGTACTCTACCCTCACCTATTTACATTATAAAACAAGCATTTGGATTTTCATCGCTAAACGTTTGTGGAGCATAAACATAGTGAATGAAATATGGAGTATTGCCCTCTTTAGTTTTAACCTCCACCACACTTACGTGTTCCTTAACTTCTATAACCTTGGAAACTGATTCAGTAGATTTCTCAGTACCGTCTTTCTTATCCTCCTTTTTCTCTTGCTTATCCTCCTTCTCTGGTGGTTTTGGGGAACTCTTCTCCTTCTCTGTTGTTTCTTCCTTTTTCTCTTGCTTATCCTCCTTTTTCTCTTGTTTCTCTTGCTTATCCTCCTTTTTCTCTTGCTTATCCTCCTTTTTCTCTTTCTTTTCCTCCTCCTCTGGTGGTTTTGGGGAACTCTTCTCCTTCTCTTTTGTTTCTTCCTTTTTCTGTGGTTTCGAGGGCACAAGTTCTGCATGTTTGTGCACCTTTTTTCGCAAATACGAGATTAGTTTTTCAGGCTCGATTGTTCCTTCCACTGTTAGAGTTTGTGCTTTCATGTCAGTTTTTACATTGTGAATACCTACAAACATCATTGACATATATTTGCTTCTTTAGAAAAAAAACCCCTAAATTATACATACAAACAAAAAAGTTTGGAAATTATACCTTTGTTCTTTATTAACTTCTTCTTCAAATCTTGCTCACATTTGTCGCAATGCATGTGAACCTTCACCACTATTGTCCGTGAAATTGGCTTCGGAATAAAAGAACAGAATTGGTTATTCTAGTGCAATCATTTGAATATAGCTTTATTAAAAATTTAAAAAATAGGGCTTATATCCACGTGTAAACTGTTATATGAAAGGTTTCTTCTCACACACATATTATATGACGTGTAACTATGTTAACTGCTCAAAATTATAACATATTTAGAGTATCTAACTCAAAACAAATTGGCAATTGGTGAGCGGTCAACAGTTTGTTAAACTACTATGTGAGGGTCTCAGAGTCATTTCCGTGTGGGATTTTATACACACCTAAGAATTGATTAGCAACTTAAGCACTCAAAATATCACCAACAATGCATCTAGTATATCTAACTTTGGCACTTGTCAATACTAGTATACTGATTAAACAATAAATAAAAGTAAAGTGGAAATTTCTAACAACTTTTAAGTAAAAGAACCAGCCATGATTGTTGATTAAATAGACTATCAATGAAATATAATTGATGACAATCCAATAATTTACCTGGATTGTTAAGTAATGCTAATCATATTAAGCAAAAAAATATTTGAAGTATATGGGTGAGTGAGCACCACCTCTTTGGTTTCCTTCACTACTTTTTTCTCTGTTACTGTGCTTTCCTTGATCTGAGGTTTGGGTGATATTAACTCGACCTTTTTCTTAGAAAGTTTCTCCAGCCGTTTCTGAATTTTTGTTGGGTCGAAAACTCCTTTTACCTTTATTTCACCTTTCTCCATATTAGCCTCTACATTGTGAACCCCTGGTGACGCATGTTTACATAATGCTCCGTTAATTAGGTGCCTCAACTATTGACCATATTATACAAACGAAAATAAACGCAAGGAAACACACTCACATGGAACGTGGTAATGTTATTATGATCGTCTAAGTTATATATACTACTAGACAGAAAATTATTTTACACATTGTAAGCATATACACTGTACATTATGACAAAAATTCATAATCTGACAATATAAACATCGTATATTTTTTCAATCCCGGGGACATGCATAACTCCACATGCTCTACATTTTTCATTTCTTCACAGTAAGACTTACTCCAACCCTTGGAGTAAAACTCAAATTTTAGGTTCTAAACTTATCCTAACTAGCTCCAACTCTTGGGATAAATATGAGTTTTAATCCAAAACTCCTTTCTAGGGTAAATTTAGGCCAGGAGACCCCTGGGTTAGTGGGTTGGCCCATTATATATGTGTATTTTTTTTTATCTTTATATTTATAAATTTTTTGAATCTAACGGCTAAGATCTAGTATGATCACATCCAATGGTGCCTAACGGTCCAAATTCAAATCAAATGGCTAAAGTAATTAAAAAAAAATTCTTTTATCTGTTTCATATTATTTCATAGTGTTCCACGAGTTTCATAGAGTCAGTTTAATGGTTTTTCAACATTTATTGGAATCTAAATGTTGTTATGTTAAAATGTTTATAAAATTAAGTTAGGATAGTCTACATAATTTTTTTTTTTGAAAAAAAGGTTAAAAATTATCCTAAATTCTTTTTTAATAATCTCAGGCTAAAAATTTAGCCTAGAAGGATTGGAGCAGAAAAACTGTTTCTGCGTTAAAACCTAAATTTTTTGGGTTAAAAGTTTTAGGTTTGAATACAAGGGTCGGAGATACTCTAAGTATAAACTACGTATAAAGTTTTTGTTTTTATTTTTACCGTAAAAAAAAAAGTTTTTATCTGGCTTTTTAGCCAAAATGGTATTTGAGATTTGCATAACTCCTCACTTTGGTCCATGAAATTTGAAAAATTATGCTAAATAAGGATCACTTTTATTGATTGATAATGGACAATCTTATGGACCACTTTTATTGATTTCAAATCTCATGAACCAAAGTAAAGAGTTAAGCAAACTTCATGACCATTTTAGCTAAAAAGCTTTTTTATTTCACATTCAATTGGCACATATATATTGAGAAAACGACATGCATGGTGAGGAATTAACACAAGGAATACTTTTGACCACAAGGAATGCTGCTCTATACATACCTTGGGTAGCCATAAGAGGCTTCTTAATATCACGTGCACACTGCTTGCAGTGGAGGTTAACTTTGTAAACAGCATTGATTACTCCGTCATCTTTCTCCTTCACTTTCTTTTCATCTTTCGTTTCGTCTTTGTCTTTCTCCTTAGCTGCTGTTGCTGCCATTTTAGCAGCACTGATAAGCAGAGGGGTTTGAAAAACAAGTAATCAACATATATATATGCGCTCTGGAAATAGTTCTTATAAAAAGGAAAAGCCATCTAGAATGTTTCAAAGGGGTAAGAAATTAAGTGTAATTCATTAAAAAAGTTTTTGGGTTTGCTTTGTTTTTCAAGGCACTGGTGTTGGTGGGACTTGCGGTGGGGGTAGTTGACCTGCCATTGTTAGCTATTTGAATTGGAGAAATTGGTTCATTCCTTCAGATCATGATCAAAACACCACCAAACGCAACAACCCTACTATTCTATTCACCAAGGGCAAACACCAGGGACCATAACTTCCATCCTTACATTTATATGCATATATGATCTTGATATAATTATATCAAACGGTCCCTGCTCTCAAGGGATTCATCAAACAACCTTGAATGATATCTTCTGAAACTTGCTCCAAGTTTTATTTCAACGGTCGCAACTATCTATTTTTCTTTTTAAACCAACAATATGTTAAACTAAGGGATGGTGGACTTGGCGCCCCATAAAGTGTCGATCAGCCGTATTTATTAGGTATTGAACTAGACATCTATTAGAGTTGAAACTTGTGATCTTTCACACTTACTATTGAAAACAAGTACCACTAACTCATAATGCTAGTGGCATCATCTATCCTTTAATTCATCGCTTTTAAGATCATTTTTGTAAGAAATAGGCATTAGAAATTATTACGACATTCCACTATAGGAAATAAAATAGACGAAAATGATATTTCAAGAAAACATTGCAATGACAATCATTTGATCGAGTGGTTTATGGTTTGATCTTTTCACACATAAAAGTATTCTTGATAACATTACATTTTGCAGATAAACAATCCAATTCCAACCCAAAAAAAACTAGCGGACATTGTAATGCGAGATTTGCACCACTAGAATTTTAGTTTGTTGAGATCATAAAGTGTTCTTGTATAAAACTTATAGTTATCCTAATAGGAGACATAGACAATAAGAAAAGGAGGGGAGAAACCACAGTGAAGGAGGGATAAATGATGGATGTGCTACCTGCAAGACTTACTAAGAGTTGCGTGCGTAGCTTGCCAAGCATGGCGTGTACTCCTGTCAATAATTTCTAAGTGAGGTATTTCGTCGAACACTTATTGAATTTTGAGGTCAAGGACCAACATTCAACGGGTTCGCTAGCGGTGTTGGCCAACAAATTTTCTGGCGTCCACGGGTCAATTGACCTCAATCCTCTGTAGATCCAACACTGATGGCCACTTCTAACTAAATTAAAGTTGAGCAGGACTTGTGGGTTAAATCAATTGATTAGAGACAGTAGTATGCCTTCATGTTCTTCTAGCTTGTACTCAACTTCAAATCTCTTCTCAATAGATTATAATAGTTCTAATTATTGCTTTGTAAAAAAAAAATGTGTTTAATTTGGAGGTACATAGTTGAAGAATATTTTGTATAAATTGGTATATAAGTTGTACTGAAGTTATTTTCTTCATATCCATTTCTACCCTTTGTATGTTGCTTTTGAAACATAAATAGCATAATTTGGTTGCATATTGTCAAATAATTTTCCACGCTGCACCAGTGAATCCTATGCTAGCTATTTTCCACACTCAATTTCCTCGTCTCACTCACTTTCTTTCACCTCTAACAAAAATTTTAAGAAACGAAGATAATATTAATGAGTTTCATATAATTCTTATGGTTTTCTAGCACTAAATACAATTACTTTATGGTCAAATAGGAATTCAAAAGTTTGCAATATTAACTAGCAAGTGTTGTTAACTATATTGCATAATTTTGACCTCACTTATAAATGCGAAACTCACTTATATTAGAGACATGGTTGTAAAGGATAATACTTGTATTTCTTATGGGGAGAAGGGGTGAAGAATTTATATGACAATGGTACACCACCACGGTGGTATCTCGTGCCAATGAAATAAAAACATGTGCAAGTTTATATTTATATATTTTTGTTTTATTGGCAAGAACACCAAGTGGAATGCACTTATCCAATCCCATGCGAATAATGTATCTCCACCATATGAATTTTATAATTAGAAACATTCATTTTTAATCTTAACTTGAAGATCATCTATACAAAAAATCATTCGAATAGGAAGTCGTTTATGCATGAAACAAGTCAACAATGTGAGCACTAAGTAATATATTCATGATAAAACATTCATTTATTTAATACATTGGGTGAAAATTATACGATTAAGATACATTAATTATTTGTTGGGAGAATGCACTATTGTGGTGTGTGTGCAAGTATTATGCATGTGGAGCCAAATAGCAACGGTATTTTACATTAAAGGGTGATGGATTTAGATGAACACACACTGACCTAGGCATATATAATATTCAATACAGAACTCCCCTCAACGGGAGTGTTAGATCTAGAACTTGATTGGGTTTGACTTTCGTTGATCAAACAATGTATTCATTATGGTTCTATTATCACACCAAGCTCAAATTGGGATTAGAGCAATGATAGGATGTTGATGAAGCTCATAAGATGATGAAGATTTAAGCTCTCACACTGAACAAGGTTTGGTTCATGCATTTTCTTCTCAAGACTACATTTTTACACTACTTGACTAGTGCTGTCTACCTAGTCAAGTCTGAGCACGTACATATGTAAAATTGTCATGTGACTCTGCTCTGAATTTGGATGAGCCATCATACATTCCTTTATTCATGTCATCTCAGTATTGGACGTGTGCCTTATGTATGAGTTGGTTGCTGTTAACTATTTACACATAAATGTCCACGTATTCATATAGAATTTAGTTTATGAGGATCAGGATCCTCTCCTGATCTTTGTATGGGGATCCTCATGACCAAGAAGTGTGGGCCGTTGGATGAAAATCTAACGGCTACAAACAGGGGGTTCCCTTTAAAGTTATAATAATTATAGCCGTTGAATTTTCATCTAACGACCCACACTTCTTGGTCATGAGGATCCCCATACAAAGATCAGGAGAGGATCCTGATCCAGTTTATGATTGTATTATGAGTTAGGTTTTTAGGAGTATAAATATGACCTTAGCCCTAGGTCATGTTGGTTCTTCTCCCAGCAATTTTCATAACCCAAGATGCACAAACTTTCGTTCTTTGAACTAAAACTGTACTTCATAGAAATCATGGGAAGATAATCCATTTTCTTGACTCATTTTGATCTGAGTTTATAATCCATTTTCTTGACTCATTTTGATCTGAGTTTATAGGTCTTTGCGTATGAATTTTTAGGTGAAGGTTCATATCAAATCTCTTTGATCTGTCATCATTCAATTGAGGAGATTTGTTTCGTATTATTGAATCTACATTTTGCATCTTATTTCATCCTCAATCATTTCATTGGTGCCACAAATGAAGGGCTCGAACTAAAGCTGCCACTATTGTGATTTGTGAAGATTAAACCTAGATCCCCTTGAAAAAATTCAAGTTGCACAGAGGTATATGAGACCATGGATTTTCTTGGGCTGGAGTAAGGCGGAATGAAACCTCAGTGCCTCCCTAATCGGTCACGAACTACATGGTTATGATTGGACTAAGCCGACTAAATGGGCCAATGGTGCCACCATACCCTGTTGGTAGGTAAGGCTCGTAGGCTTTGTTGAGAATGACCATACTTACTTTGCAAGACAAAGAAGCTTGATCTGAATGGGATCAGATTGTTTATTATATTCATTGAGATTCCTGCAATCTAGGAATTTACTTGTGCCGCACGTAATCACAATCCCAAAAGGAAGCAATATTTTATACAAAATATCCTTTAAGATTCTCCTAGTTTAATGCGGATTTCACTCTCCTAAAAAGAATTGGTAACGCGTACTTTGCACTCAATTGCTTCCTTTTTTGCCTATTGCTTGAGTTATAAGATTTTTATACTAACTTGACCATCTTAGACTCTTTAGGAGGCCCTGAAGAAGATCCGCACAACTGTTGAAGATCCACAACAGACTTCAAAAGCATCTCATGAGGAGAACCGTTTGGACTTCATCTACAGATGAAAGATCTAGAGAATTCTCACGAAACTACTTCGCAGACTTAAGTTTCAGTCTCCAAATTTGGGATTCTGAGTACCTTGACGCCGGAAATCCTCTTCCAGTTTCAACACAAACTCTTGATGAGAACCAGTGTACGGAACGACGCAAAGACCAGACTATTAGTCATACAACCATATGCGGAGTCCATGTTCAGCTCAATCTTGGACCTCCAGGTATTACGAGGGCTCCTTGTGTGGAACCCCATGCGCTTTCACTTCGATGATCTGGAACCATCTGAAGATCAGGAGAGGCGCAGAACACTGAATCGAGATAATTATAGAGACACTTTGAGGGATACTCGGAACCAAATCCTAAGTAGTATCATCTCAGAGATTAAAGACCCTATTTTTTCTATAATACACACCGCACCTCCTCTAGAGAAGATTACTCCACCTCGATTCAAGTACTTCCGTGGGGATTCCTATCAAGACAACCATATAAATGCATTACAGAATGCCATGGCTCTGAATAGGAACAATAAAGCATAAATGTGCAAGATGTTCCTATCTACTTTGGAAGGACCTACTATGAAATGGTACTCGGAGTTGCCATAATGCTTTATTGGCAACTTTATACGCTTGTTGAGTTTTTTTATTGCAAACTTATTTGTGTATCGCGATATCTGAAAGCACCATGATGCTATGTTCAGCATGGAGCCTTAATCTAAGCATGAAAGTGCTAGAAATTATCTCAACCAATTTCAAGCGAAATTGGTTGAAGTGGAGAGACCAGATGATACACTCACTGCAATGCCCTTTAAGCAAGGTCTCTGTGTCCATTCACATATGTGCCGGAAGCTGAAGAGACGCAAGTATGACTATGCCATGTTGGCGGAATGCTTCAAGAACACTGGTGATGGTACTAGCTGAGATGACGAAGCCCGAAAGAAGGGTTCAAAATCAAATGAAAAAGGAAGTCCGAAGAGAACGTGAATAGACGTGATACTCTTCTGCCTTTCCCCCCCCCCCCCCCCCCCCCTCATTTGAACGATAAAAAGAAACGAAAAGATAAGTCAACTTCGTCTAAACTAAGGCAGCTTACCACCTTGAACACTTCAATAAAAAATATCCTTCACGGAATCAAGGATAAGCCTTATCTCAAAAGACTAAAACCTCTTCTAGAGCACATGGTTAAGGTATGGTCTAATGAGTACTACTCCTTCCACCAACGCACTAGGCACATTACACGGAATTGCCCCATGCTCCAATAGCACATTGAAGAACTTATCAACTAGGGATACTGCTAGGAATATGTGAAAGATAAAACTAAGAAGGACGAACCTGTAGACAAGAGGGACAAATGCAAGTCCGATCCATATCTGCTCGCTGACGAGGAAAAAGATAAACCAGCAAATAAGCCAACACTTAACATCAATGGCACCTATGGTGAATAAGAATATCTTGGTAGCACTAAAAAAGATAGGACGACCGCCTGCAAAAATTCGAGGATGGTAATTTCCATCAACAAACCCCTTCTAATCGACTCCAACATCTTGACCTTCTCTAACCGAGATTTGGAATATGTGCACTCTCTCCACGATGATGCTATGGTGATAAAGATATAGATTTTCAATGGTATGGCCAGTAGAATATGGTAGACAACGATTTTGGAGTCAACGTTCTCTTTAAAGAGTCAGTGGAAAAGATAAGAATTCTAAACAATGTCAATTGAAGCAAGACGACTTTTCATACCTTTGAAGGCACCCCGGTCCGATTTATCAGAATAATGGGTCTCGTGGTTCAGGTGGAATCCTACAACATGCTGATACTTCTCAATGTTATGAATGACTTTGAACAAAACAATCATAGGGCAGAATTGGCTTCATAGCATAGAGGTTGTTCCTTCGTCATACCACTAGCTGCTCTAATATCCGTCACCTGACAATATTAAGGAAATTAAGGGGATCACTCCGCTACCCATTGCTATGATGTTGAGAGCATGAACATGATCTGTGAAGCTGAGCAGAGCACCCCGACTCCAACTCTTGTGGTGATATAGAAACCACAACCTTGAGGTCAAGAAACAAGTTACAAGGAATTTGACTTTGACCTTGAACTCAAAGACGACATCACTCAGACTCCAAGGCGGATGAAGATGTTGTCTATATCATACACAATCCCGAAAAAAAATCAGAGAGGAATGCCAGAATCAAATTAAGATTGTCAGAACGAGAGAAGGAATTGTTTATTGCCACAAACAAGGATGTTGATGAGTCATTATATTATATATTACCATTTTTTTACTTGGATATTATTATATATTTTGAAGATGTTTGATATTTCCTTTTATATTTTGCATACAGACGCAATAGAATCTATGTTGATGGGAAAGTGGAGAAATGATGGATATTTTGAATAATTCCATTTGAAGCAGACTCCCAAGGCATTTAAGATTACTGAGTCAAAATCTCAACCTTAAATTCAAAGAAAACTAATCAAAATGATTTGAAAACTTTGAGTTTTAATGATAAGAACAAAATAAAGAGTAAAATGAAGGAGTGTGTCGGCACACCCCTTTTTACTTCTTCCACACCTTTTAAGTTTCGGCCGTCAGATTGAATGAATTGAAAAAGATCAACAGACAGAAATTAATAAGGGTGTGTGAGAAGTAAAAATGGGTGTGTGGATAGCACACCCCTAAAATGAATAGTATCACGATTGATTTTTTAGTATAAAAATATGATTTTTCGTTAAAGTAAACAGTATCGAGAGCTTTCTTTAAATTCAAACCGGTTTGGTTGTGTTTATTAAAAAAGTACAAGTATGTTGTGTTGGACAGATTGACCTTTTGGGATTGTTTGACCAATAAATTAGTGAAGTCATAAAAGTTTCAATACACCTCTGAAGGCTGATTCTGTGTAGATTTAATCATTCAAGGGAAAGAATCTTCACAGTTTTGAGTATGTAACAAGTTAGGAAACTATCTTTAAGTTACCTTATTTTGTGGGTTTTCTGGATTTTGTGGGAAACATATTTTAGTAGGATTTGACTCTATAGTCGGGTATATAAGCCGAAGTTTTATACGTAGATTAGAGAATCTTTACTTTGGAATACAACTAAGGGAGAAGAGAGCTCGATTATTTGCTACTTTGTACTACCAAGGGTTGTTTTTATCTTCTCGTTTCATCTTAATAATACCTTTATATTTAAGGAAAACTAATGAAAAAGACTTGAAAAATTTTAGTTTTAATAAAAAAAATCATGTTATAAGTTTTGTTTAATGATTAATACTGTTTAATGATTAATACAAGGCCCATATTAAAGTACAAGGCCCATATTAAAGTAGTCCAACTAAAAATGTCCCAACTACAATAAATTATGATTTGTCGATTTTATCCTTAACTTTTTTAGGTTGAGTTCTAGATTTTCGTCGTTAATGGAGTTCATCGTTGTTTTGCAGACCTTCTTCTTTTTCTTTGAAACAAAAATATAGATCTTCATGCTTTTTAATTTATATTTTGTATTATTTCGTTGAACTGTGATCGTAGTTATTATTCATAGTGTATTCGAGATACTGTTTTTTAATTTTTTTTTTGTCAGTGGAGTTCATCGTTTGTTTCTCTAGAAAATAAATTTGAGATATGCATCCTATTCAATAATAACGACGGGTCACTGTTTCTGGACTGTAAAAATAAACTATTTCTGGATTTTAAGTAACACTATTTCTGGAATTTAAGTCATTATTTCTGAAATGTAAGTTACTATTTCTGGAATCTAAGTCACTGTTCCTGAATCCAAATGAAATAAACACAATGTTTCTTAAATGTAAACTTGAAAAGAAATAATGAAAATCACTGTATTTGAATTCAAAGCAAAATAAACATCTTGTTTCTTAAATATAATCAACTGATGCATAAAAGAAAAGAAACAGTCAAAGGTTAAAACATAGACTGTTTCTGGAATCTAAGTTACTGTTTCTGAAATCTAAATCACTGTTTGTGGAATTTAAGGCACTGTTTCAGGATTTTGGTTCTTTTCTTTCCAGATACAGTGTTTGTTTGTGCACAGACAAAACAAACAGTGTATCTGATTTTAATTTTTTTTTTTTTCCAGAAACAATGTTATATTTTGGGTTCTCCAGAAACAGTTTTATGTTTTGGTTTTTTCTTTTTTCTTTTTTTTTTCAGACACTTTTTCGCTGGTTTCTGCCATTAAACCTCTTTGAACTTGTTTCGACGACTTTGTTCCGATGAATGCTTCCTTTTTCAACTTTGATTTGGTTGTTTTTTAAATGGGGGAATTCAATTTGATAGGAAGACAAAGAGTTATTATGGCTGCTTCGTGCTAGGTTGAGCTTGGTGAAGAGTCAGGACAATATCGAATCATTTAGGGGTATTTACAGAAGTGTAGATTTGTAGTAGGTTGGGTTTGTAAATTTGACCCATAGACAATAGTTTTGGATGATTTTTTATTAAACTTTGAGCCCTTTTGGTTAAATAACATTTTGGGATGGTTTTTGTTTAAATATTTGTTGGCCCAAGCCTTTTCATTAAAACTCCCTTATATTTAATTATCATTATCCTAGACATCCTTTAGGATTCTCTCAGTTTAATGCAGATTTCACTATCTTGAAAACTCTCTCTCGACTAGTATAAACACACCTTCTAGAGTTCAACATGGTAACGCCTAGTTTGCTATTAATTTCTCTATTATCTATTACTTGAGTTCTAAGATATTTAGACTTACTTGACCGTCATAGAACCTTTGTCCAATACCACATCAGTACCTTAGGTTATGACCAGAAACCCTTTGTCCGGTATCACACCAATACCTTAGGTTGTTCAGAGTTGTTTGCTCTTTCTTGTAGGAGACCGATTAGACACTCTCCTCCTTCCGCGGTGGTGTGGAAATTTGATTCCAACAAGGTACAAACTGCTCTTTAACATAGTCTAGGATTTGAGATTGTATGTGTTTGATTCTTTGTATGAACATACTTTTCTATCAGTGGATAGAGCTCTTGGTTGTTCCCCCGATTTTTTACCATGTTAAGGGTTTTTCGGGTACAAATCTTTGTGTATCATTGATACCTCTTTAACTCTAAATGTTATCACAAATGAACTAGACAATGATCGTTTGAATCTTGGATAGATTTATAAATTCATGATGACTTTGATATATGCTATCTGTACTACTTGTTCTTACTTGACTAGGAAGTGAACTGAATGGTAGAGTTCTGGTTATTGTCCATCTATGCTATTTTGGGTTTTATTTTATTTTATTTTTGGTAGAAATAGGCATTGTATCTCTTGTTATTTCATATTATTGTAGGTGATTCTATTTGATACCAATTTCAATGAGTCATCTTGTCATCAATAGGAGTAAAACCAATGACCTCTAAAAAAATTAGAGAAAACCACTAAACCATAGGATTAGTGGCCATCACCCTTTTTTTATACAACAAATGGTTGGGGGATAAACTAGTTTCAAATTCACCATTTACGAGATTTGAACTAAGACCTCTCAGTTAAGAGTAAAAAAAAACCACTAAACCGCAGTGCTAAGTGTCAATCATCACATTTTTTCAATCAGAAAAATAGTGTCGACACACAAATCATGTATATAGAACACCTTAGTGGTTAAGATTTAAATGCTTTGAATTCAATACAATTATCATATGGCATTGCACTACATAACATTCAAAAGTAAATTAAAATATAAAAATCAAATACATTGAAATTTATTTTAATTAACCTACTACCCCATCATTTCTCCTCCCTTAGTCCCTTACTCTATTTTCGTTGGGGTGTGATATCTACGCACCCCTTTTTACTTCTCTCACACCCCTTTAATTTCCGACCGTTGGATCGGATGAATTGAAGAATATCAAAAGACAAAAATTAACAAAAGGTGTGGGAGAAGTACAAAGTGTGGATAGCACATCCCTTTTCCGTTACCCCTCGAACCTCATTAATCATTGTTGCTTATGGTCATGGCTCTTGCATTTCTTCCTCAATTGCTTCTATACATTTTTCAATCGACTACAACAAGCCGTTCAAATCCGTGCCACTCAAATTCTGCAAGCAGTCAGCTGGAAGGCTCCCGTACATAGATTGTATCATAATTTCCTTCTCTTGGTTTTTCTTATTTTGTTTTTTCAGCTGCTCCTCAACTTTAACTATCTGTTGCCTTAGAATACTTTTTTGGTTCATCATATTTTTTCTTTTGTCCATCTCTTGCATCTGCTTAAACCTTGCGATTATCCTTCGGGTTACATCCGGGTTCGGACCAACTTCTGGTTTGGTGTCATACTGGCTATAAACGACAGCAGATGAATCAATTCCATAAAGAATGCTAAGTTCCTTTACCTTCTTCATCAGCCCGTTCTTCCTTTTCTTGAAGGTGGCTTTTCTTGAAGCATCATCTCTTATGTATGCAAGCTTAATTTTCTTTCTTGCCATGGTGAGCTAGGGATATTGCTGAAGGAAGAGACAATGTATTAGATGGGTTTGAGGTTGAGGCGGCTCCTTGTAGTTCATTCCCTGAAAGAAGGTATTTGTAGAGCTGAAATATGTAGTTTTAGGGTTTAGTTAAATGTAAAGCCAGATAGATTAGGGTTGGTTGGATATGGATGACTAAGTGATGACAAGTGAATTTATTATGCACATTTATGGAGGATCTGATAAGTTTTAAGGTTCATGAGTTCAATTTGAATTTGTAAGTTCTAATCCTCTGCATCTTTATATATAGTTGGATGTTCTTGCAAGGGCTTCTAGTCAATTGATTGAGAATTTACCTACGTACCAAGGCTTTGAATTCAAATCCACCTATCATTCTGTTGACAAAAAATTGTTTGGTACTTTTTTCATAGTCATTTCAGTGCTTAAATCATTATCGTATCACGTGTTGCATTAGATGATCCATAATATATCATGTAAATCTCGACATGTTGACGCATAAGCTTTACAAAGTTCTTGTACTCCAACCATGAATTCATTAGTTACTAAAAATAATATTACAACCGTTAGCATTAATAGAGCCACTATGAGTAGAAAAATTTCCGCATTCTTGGAATACCACCTCATTATGGATAGCTGGTGTAATACGCCTCACACATGTGCTCGATACTTCATTCCCTAGATTTAGGAACTCATAAAAACTCTCTAAAAAGGACATGATTAGAATTTGATATTTTTAACTCGTTTTTTTTTTTTGAACAAATAATATTATCTACATTCAGCAATGAGGGAGTAGTTAAGTCTTACAATGAGCTAAAAATAATGTGGTTCAATATTTTAACTCATTTTAACTTGGAGCTCTCATTTTGGGAGCTCATTAAAGTTCTTTAATGTCATTAAAAGACCACATAAGGGGCAGGCCATAAGTGCTGAGCCTAAAACAACAAAATAAAATAAAAACCTGAATACATATAGAGCCTCGAGGGCTGGACGTGTGGCGACTAAAAAGTAGTGTGATTAAATATATCAGAACAAATATTATAGGGTTTTTATCACAAATGGTCCCTAAAATGAACCTAACTCATCAAGATGATCCTTGAAATTGAAAATCAATCAATGTAGTCCCTCAAAATTGGTGTTGCAAATCAATGTGGTCATTCCGTTACAATTTTGTCAAAAATTCTATTATATGCTTGTAACATCCCACATCGACCAACGGATAGGGAGTGATGTGCCTTAAATGTACATGCCCACCTCCTATAGCATGAGGCCTTTTGGGAACTCACTTGTTTCGGATTCCATTGGAACTTCGAAGTTAAGCAAGTTCGGGCGAGAGCAATCCTAGGATGGGTGACCCACTGGGAGTTCTCATGCCGAAAAACCCAAAAACAAAACTGTGAGGGCTTGGTCGGGGCCCAAAGCGGATAATATCGTGCTACAGTTGAGTCGAGACTAGGATGTGACAGAATGGTATCAGAGCCACTCTGCCATTCAGTGCGAGTGTGCCGACGAGGACGTCGGGTCCTAAGGGGGGGTGGATTGTAACATCCCACATCGACCAACAGAATGGGGGTGATGTGTCTTATATGTACATGCCCACCTCCTATAACACGAGGCCTTTTAGGAACTCACTGTTTTCGGATTCCATCGGAACTCCGAAGTTAAGCGAGTTCGCGGGAGAGTAATCTTAGGATGGGTGACTCATTGGGAAGTTTTTGTCTGAATTCCCAGAAATAAATCCGTGAGGAAATGGTAAGCCCAAAGCGGACAATATCATGCTACGACGGAGTCGAGACTAGGATGTGACAATGTTGATGTGACACGTAACTGGATCCCACCAATATAATTAAATATTGCTATGTGGATTTAAAATATTTAAATAAAAAAATTATTTATATAATAAAAACTTAAAAAGAAAAAGAAAAAAAAGAAGAAGATGACTGTTCATCATCTTCTTCCTCTCCCATCTAAGTAATCACAGGAGCAGACCCGCCGTTTGCACCTTGCTAGCACGGCCTTCAAGGTCGACCAAGCTCCAACTTCCACCACTTCGTCCAATGTTTTGCCTTTTCGAGTCGGGCACGGGTTCCACTTGCACAAGCTAGAGCCCAGGTACCCTCTGATCATTGGCGGCCTCAACATACTCATGACAGAGGTTGGGATGCGCATTCTGAGGGTAATTCCTCCTTTAATCAGCTTTTTCTTCTCATAATTTAACATTTTCTAATTTATTTTATTACATTTTTTATTTAATTTTTGAATTTTGTATTTGAATTTTGGGGATGTGTTGCTTCATTGTGTGGTGGATGAGATATTAGGGGCTTTAGGCTTTGGATATCAGGCATATAGTTCCTGATTCGGAGTCGAAGTGGATGGGTGCAGCTTCCTCGGGTGGGAGAAGAGGATGACTTTTTTTATTTTTTATTTTTTTTAAGTTTTTAATTATCCAAAAATAAAAATTGTTTTGTATTATTTTAAAATATTTCTAATCCACATGGCAATATTAATTAGTCTTGTGGGACCCACTTATGTGCTACATCATCACATAACACAGTTTTTGATGAAATTGTAACAGAAGGACCACATTGATTTCTAACACCTATTTTCAGGAACTACATTGATCAATTTTCAATTTTAAGGACCATCTTAATGAGTTGAGTAAATTTCAGGGATCGTTTGTGATAAAAACCCAAGATTATAAACATCAAAATTAATATTACTAATTCTGTATTACAAAAAATGCTGAGACAATTTTGCCAAAAATCTAACGGAAACTGTATTGAATATTCAAACCTATAAGAAATAATTTAACGTAGAAGATTATAAGGAAATTGATGCGTGAACATACAAAGCGTGCATACATATACACACACATATGAATAAAGAGATTACAAATTCATAGGTGCATGCTCAGAGAAAGATAAATAAAAATTTAGGGCATTCGTTTATAAGCTCTATGACCTCCCGCACCAGCCATTTCAGCAGGAGAAGCTCCATGTTCATGTGTAGTGTTCGTACCATTAGCCGTATGCATTGCCTTAATTTCATGTTCATGTGCTGCTTTGTCTCCAGCTCTGGCAATCTCCCCAGCCATGGCCACATGCAGTGACATTGCTGCTTCAGCTTCTTTGGCCAACCTCACCTCATGAGCTACGTCTACTCTTGCCTTTGCTATTTCCTTCTCAGCCTAGCAATATACAATTTGAATATCCAGCAGTATGAAAAATGAGTGTTAGGTTGAAATTTGATTATAGTCATTTGATTAGGTAAACTATGCTTAGTAAAAACTCCAGGTACATTCACGTTCGTTGGTACATTGATATACGATACATGTCCCTTTATTCTTGTGTGTACTTTTATAATGATAACGAACTTGTTTGGACTGCTTTTAAAATTGTTGAAAACACTTTTTATGAAAATGTTTGCGGAACTAATCTTTAGTAAAATGTAAGTAAATCCTGGAAAAGCACTTGAATTGTTTTGTGCAAGTACTTTCAGTCATTTTAAAAACACTTCTAAACAAGTTTAATATTGTACGATAAAAAAAAAAACCGAAAAGAAAATCTAACATGAGAATATATTATTTGTGGAGACAAATAATTAAGTCGTTGACATATTTCTTATGGGCGACAATGGGATCTACAAATGTAACAATATTGCATTACTATTTATATGAAATATACGTACCCTCTCTTCGGCCCTGGCCTCCTTCTTGACCTTGCGCAAGGCGCCCATTTCATTTATCTTGTCCTTCACTGCCTGCATTTTTCCTTTCTCTTTTATCAGCACCTTACAAAATTAGCCGAATAAACTGAACTATAATGCTCCCAATCGACAATGAAAATGTTAACATATATATCGAGAGTTCGTACGACCCAGAAAGAGCAAAGATGGCTTGTGGACGTATGTTTGAGACGTGTCAAACATGCAGACGTTTAGGAAAAACTTGTGGGCGATGTTGAAAAGGCGTCAAGTACTCTAAAATCCCATCCCAAAATGCCAATTCAAGATCCGATTTTTTAGTTGAAGGCGTGACTCCATTTCAATTTCAAATGGTTTCTTTCGATGAGTGAGGAAATTTTTGTTTTAACGTGGTTAATTCCATTCCACATCAAGGATTAAGGCATAATTAATTCGAGAATAAGGTTGTGTTGGATCTTAATCTAATTTTTTCTCTAGCAGAATTATTGACTAGTGTAAATTTATATGTATTGTACTTCTATTATTCGATGAGTGTCAATTTTCTGTGTGCGGGAGCGACTACTGTGACATTCCAGTTTAATAATATATTGTCACATAAACAAAAACTAACACATAACATTGTATGTGGTGAAATTCTCATTTGAAATTGCCCGTATCTTAACTTTATTAACAGTACAAGAATTAGCTAAAGATCAAGGTAAGAATTAATCAATAGAGAGAAGAAATGAAAGCGAGAGAGAAAGAGAGAGAGATGTGAAGAAGAAAGGGTGTTTAAGATTCCTTGATGAGTAATGAGAGTACATTAACAGCTTTATATTCATTAGCCATTGTAATGCATCGATACTAACAAACTAACAGATTTCTTAATAGAAGTTAGGCAACCAACTAATCCTAAGTAATTCTAACTGTTTTATGCTGACATGGATCCTAACCAATAAACTGATGACAATTGTTCAATTCCTTCCCTTATCATCCCCCTCAATCTCAGCTGTGGTAACCAAGCTTGAGATTGCTGTAGTGCTTGACAAACATGTAACCCTTTGGTAAGAATGTTAGCAGTATGCTCTTCAATTGGAATATACTAGACTATCAAATCCTTTGTTTGCACTTTTTTCCTGATAAACTGAAAATCTGTATCCAAATGTTTGATTCTAGTCTGAAATACTAGATTGGAACATAGAGCTAAAGTAGTAAGGTTATCACAGTGTAACAATGGTGGTTCAGCAATGAACTGATGTAAGTCTTTCAATAACTGTCTTATCCAAGCCATGTATGCAGCATAATGTGCTAAAGCTTTGTATTTTGCTTCAGTAGAGCTTTGAGACACTGATTGTCACACTCTGAACCCAGGTCGGCAATAAAAACTCGAACCCAAATTCAAAACATGAGTTAAAAGCTCAATAAATAAAAAGAAATTGAAACATGTTGGAAAATAAATTCCTCTTATAAAATAATTATGATTCTTAAACAAATCAAGAATTCTTTACAACCTACAATAAATAGATGAACTTTCTTTACTCCAATATATTCGATCTCATCTTACGTACTTTCTTGAATATCTAGTTCGTAAACCTGCATAATAATAGAAGGATGAGCTTCAACAGCTCAATATGGACATAACCTTATCACAGTAAATTGAAAATATTAAATTAAGTGTCATGAAATCATATAGCCAAATATCAAATCATAGATGATAACAATGTATGTATGCAATCCAACCTCTTCAGCTACACCCGTTAATTTATATAATAAAACATGAGGACCTGCACGTCCCATGCCATGCATTTTACCACTATCGTGGTGGTTCGAATGTTCTATTACAGAAACTAACCCCCATACGATATCCCAAGTTCATAAACCCCTTTTGCTAGTCATCTTATCTAATTCATTGATCTCTAGCCCACATCACTCACATCACAATTCCCACCTATATCCTATTCTAATGTGCACACTGGGCTCACCTAGAACTGGTTTCACAATGAATAGATTCAACTACACAAAAGATCCTTTCCAACTACCCTCATTTCCCGAATTCCAATCTCAACACTGAAGTTCCAACCACATCTCACAACATGAATGATGCACAAATAATATCATTTCATCTTTCACATGTATCACAATATATTCTCAACGAATAGCATTCCAGCAATAATTCCATAACCAATAACAAGTAAACACTTAACTGAAGCAATTAGCCAATTAATATCCAACCACATTAATCAATAAAAAGGATCAAGAATATTATAACACTTCACGAAATATAATAAAATCAATTTCCATAAAGGTTTACCGTATTTCCCCTACTTGGATTCCAAAGCTAAAACGAAGATCCATGTCACTATCGTAATAGCTAAACTCCACGCACTTGATCTAGCTTCTTGATCACTCCTAAACCAATGTATTTCTTCCACCCTTATCTTTTCTAATCTCTCTCTCTACATATATATTGTATATACACACACGTACATGAAGGGAAAATATGAGATTTATGTGGGATTTCTAGTGACTAGCATGCATATACAATTCAAAATTTATATACGAAAGCAACGGAAGCATGTCATACATTTTATCAAAGCTATAGTCATGCAAATCCCCTTCAAGATGCATAGGTTTATATAAGATGCATCAAAAACAATTTATTGAAGAACAAAGTTTAGGAGTAGTTTTGTACCTCTTGATCTAGATCTAAGACCAAGGATTGACCACCTCCAAGCTCTTTGCTCCTTGAACTCCTTGAGCCTAGCCTCCCTCCTTGCCTCCTCCACTTTGTTGAGAATGAGTGCTCCTAGGTCCTCTTCAAGTTTCCAAAGATATGAAAACCTCTAAAGATCCTCACCCACTTTGTAATGAGAAAGATGAAGGAATTAACCAAAGGGTGATAAGATGATTAGCTAGAATTTCCTTTGGTGGCCGGCCCTTTAAGTTTGAGAGAGAATAATTTTGTTTTCTTTTGTGTATGTTATGAATTACCTAACACACTCACACACACTTTCATTATATTATGTTCCTTTTATTTCTTAAAGAAACAAATCAACAATTGACTTACTTTCTCTCCCTTCTCATATGGCCGGCCTATTGTGTTTAATTTGGGCTTTGGGCTTTTAATTATTTCAAGTCATCCAATGCTTGAATAAAAGCCCAATGGGTTTTGGCCCAATGGGCCCGATTAAACCCGAACGTTTCTTTAAGCCCAAAACGATCTTTATCGCTTTTATGATTTCTTTAGACTTTCTAAATTAATCAAAACACTTAATTAATCCAATTAATTATTTCCTTCATCCATTAGTTACTCACTACAAGAGTGTATCGGTGAACAATCTTTTAGGTTCTAATTAGCAAGGCAGTGAGGTGATTGGCACCAATCCAATTGATTATCCAATCACTTAGTGATTTAAAACTTACTTTTAATTCACCTTCCTTTTAATGACTACATTTAATCATCTAGAAGAACTCACAAGCCATGAGTGACATCTAATCATATATCATGGCTACCCAAGCTAATGTAGAAGTTATTCGGAGAACCTATTCAGTTGGAATTACAATGTAATTCGATCCTTCTCTAAAACAATACTCTCAATCACATTACTAGGGTATGGATTTATAATGTCAAACCCCTAATGTGATTATTCCTTCTTATACGATTCATTTGAGACGTATAGGAACGCTTTCCTTTATTACGCTCGATACTTCGGCCGAAGATTCCCGAATCATATCTTAGAGTATTCATCCTCTCTTATCGAAGATTAGAGATTCCTTGTTGCGCATTCACTTGCCTTCATGGCTAAGTGGCTTAACCCCAACGATGCCTTGGACACTCTCGAATGGAATGACTTTAACATAATCAAAGATTAAGTACTTAACCACAAGACAACGAGATGCCTCAGGTCAAAGGATTACTTACATTATTCCAACCATTAGAGTTACTTGCTTGACATGTGAGTAGACCTCCATGCAAGTACTCTCGTTCGATTGTGTTCAGTGAACTCATTCCCTTAATGAGCACCTACATGCTTGTCTTAGTGTCGCTACACGAATGGGATGAGACTTTCCATCCTTCCAATTGAAGCGGACATAGTATGTACCAGTCTATGGATTGTCAGTATCCCTCCGACAATCCTTATGACCAGGAACCTTTTTGGACATGATGGTTATGAGAAGAAGGTCTCTGTAACCTAACATCATTAGGTTACTTCTTCCATCGATCCATTGTCCATGGATTCACTATTTAGGACATATTTCGTTCATTGAGATAGTCCCAATTAGTATCTTTGCCTTCCGATGTATAAGAGTCATATATACATCAATTCATTGTCCTGAAAGGTTTCTTCCAAAGATTGACTTTCAGGGCATATTTCCAACAATCTCCCACTTGCACTAAAGTCAATCACTAGTGTATCTTATACATCCAACAATCTCCTTCTCTTATGCTCGTAGGTTAACTTGGTTATGTATTTAATCGCCTTTTAATTTAAAAGGGATTTACTTATCAAATGTTTCTAAAACATTTTGATGATGTCTCTTTCTTGTGTTCGAATACTTTGATGAGACCTTGATTCCATGGCTTGAGCTATCGCCCCATTACGTCGTAGTATCCTACTAACGACCTTATGGTTTGGATTCAATCATTGGTTCTAAAAGAACCCCTTCCATTCAAAACACCTTTTGAAGCAGTTTCTAAAACAATATATCGATATATATATTTCGTTTGTATACTTTATACAAACTTTGCTCCAACCTTGAGACCATTGTAGTACGATACTAACAATACATTCATATGATTAGTACTTCATCCATTATGAAGTTCCATTTGTTAAAATGGGTTATTTTCACTTTGGTTCGTAACCTAAGTGAATGCACGCTTCCAAAGTCCCACTTTGATGTTCCTTTCTTAAAGGCAATAATACTCTATCAGTTGCTTTGGTTCTGATCCTGGGATATAGTAATATCTTAAAGTGATAACCCATGGTCTTTCACTTTTGGATATCTACTCACAAGTCCATACATGTGTCCCTTTTGTGATTTTATGACACATATGAAAAAGATTTTCTATCATATAAGAAAATTTTATGATTTGAACCATGAGGTGACGAATTTGAATTGTCTTGTTGTTAAACTATATG